CCAACGGAGCAAAGCTCAGGGAGCCAAGGTTCCATTTGGATGCCAGGAAGCACTTTCTGGTAGTCAGGACCCCAAGGGTGTGGAATGGGCTTTCACGAGAGGTCGTTGAGGCCCCATCGGTGCGGGTGTTCAAGGATAGGCTGGACGTCCACATGGTGGGCATGTCGTGAGCGGAACCGGCTGGTGCCGGAGGTCAGACTAGATGGCTCGGGAGACCCCTTCTGACTCGCTCTGTTTTCTATGTTTCTGTGTTTTATTTGCATAGCTTTCTCCCTGTTTTGTCAGACTTTCAGAGGGGCTGCTGGAAACCAACAAGTCATGCTCCTTGTTTTCTGCTGTTGGCTTAACAGTGTCCTTTCTGTAATCCAGCATGAGTGAATTCCCAAGTTAGTTTCTTGGGTTTCTGTGAATACATCTGATCCATTTTCATTCTGTATTAAATGTACCTGGAGCTGTTGCATGATATATAGGCTCACACCAGCTTTCCAGGCCCTACTGAGATTTTGCATTATAACTTTGGAATTTCTTCTTAGTGTTTCTGTGATTTTTGTTTTTCCTTTCTATTCATCACTGTAGTTCTACTTTATCTTCACATGATTTACATCAGGAATTAGATGTGATGATAAAGGTGATGATTCCATGCATTTCTATACCACCCTCTAGCTCTCTGGGTGGTTTACAAAGCAGTGGTGCTTATGGTGACTTATTAGGTTTCATCTTTCACTTCACATGAGGGCCCTGCTGTGTTTTAGACCTAGTTTTACAGCTCAGAATATGAACCATGTTCCTCCACAACTGTTGTTATATATTTGTGAGTATTTATCTGTTGAATTTATATCCTGCTTGGAAGTAGTTTGAATTTGTTTCACTATCATTCCACTTGTTCTTTAGATTGTGGATAGTATAGACTGGTGATCATTTAACTGTCTTTGGCAAACTTTCAGAATTCAACCAGTGTGTTCTCAGATTCATCACCTTGTAGTAACTCACTGAAGTACTGTGCCCATCAAAAACTGAGTGCTTCCAGACAAGGCTTCTGCAGTTACATTGCCTTTCTTTACTGATAGACTTTTACTATGGTTTGCACTGAGACATTGCCAAATACTCGAGGATTTCATGCCACCATTTAGGATATCCCAGAGTGTCCTTGTTTCAAATCCCTCTGCTAAAGTGGCGGCAAAGAACAGGGGTGACCCTTCAGCATGAGAATGTTGTACAGCACACTGCAAGCCAGTGTGAGAGAGGAATCAATCATTAGCTTGCACCAAAAGGACATTAGTGCAAGGAGAACTCTGCCTGGAAGCACCCACTGTCTTAAAGTGCTTTAATTAAAGAGTTCAAATATGTTTTGGAGTCGTGTGTATTTAAATTGTAGTGATGAATATACAGTCATTAACTCATTTTCCTCCAACTCCAATTCCTTGTGATAGAGGGAAACAGTGAAGCCTCGATTTAGTCAATCATGGGTGATAGGGAAGAGTGCCAGAGCCCTCAAAATCGTAATGCACTGCACCAGCACTCAAGTTTCCTGAAAGATACTAGGAGAAACAACTAGTGAGCAATTTATTAGAATAAGCAAGAACTCAGAAGAGTCTGATGCAAGAGACAATTTGCAAGGTGGGTTCCAAATGATAATTTGCTCTCTGAAGTCATAGATACTTGCCAAAAATGCCACAATTTTAGACCATATAATTTACCTTTTACTGAAACTGGCCCCCAAAATTGTATCTTTGTTTATACAATTTCAAAGTGTCCTTTATTCTTTTTAGTGCTCTGAATATATCTCCTGCAGAATTACTATCTTCCCTCCTTGGAATATGAAGCCATTTTCTATAGATAGAACGACACCAGCATTCCAAAAATCTTGGCGACAGCAGCTTGCTCTCTTCGCATGGGATATCCTGCCTTTATTATTTCACATGTAAGAGTAACCAAAGCATCATGTCTTGTTTTTCTTACTATTTCTCTTTGTAGATGCAGGTGAGAAGCAATCGACTGTGATAAATTCCATTGTGCAGGTATGGCTGGCACTGCCTCTGGACATCCTACATACTCATAAAAAGAACATATCCCTGTGATTCCTAGTTTATTTATAGGTTAATCAGTGAGATCTGTTAAGATCATCAGGTTTGGAAGCTGGAAGATCTTTCAACCTCAATACTGACATAGCTTGTGTATTTGCTATATAGAATCTCAATAGTGGCACTTTTTATTGTACCAGTATCTGGTACTGAATTTTTGTTACAGTCCAAAGATGGTGACCTCCACTTTCTTCTCCTCTTGTTGATAAAAATGTCATTCACACATGTTCTTCCACTTTAACCATGGCTATGTCTCACCCTATCCCTCTGCCCTGTTTCCCGTGGCCTTTGTCTCTACAGCTTTAGTGGCAGCTACCTGAATGTGTCCCGTTTCCTGTGACATTTTCACCCATTCTCTGTTGCTGCTCCCTTGTGCCTGAGGCTCTTTTCTAGAACACAAGTCATTCAGCTGTCCAGTCATGACCAACTATAAGGGATCCTATAGACGAAATCTCACCACACTTTCCAATTCAATCTAGAACATATACATGGTGCCAGTTGTCACTCACTAACACTTCCTAAGTACCCATCTTTTGTGAAGCTTTTGCTTAACCTCTTAGTCCTCACCTCCCTTGAATTAAACTATGTCTAAAAGCACAGTTGTTACCCCAAAGCTGCTGGTAAGAAGTGGCATCTAATAGAGACCCCATTTATTTATTTCATTGTTATTTACATAATACACAGTGCATCATAACACCAATTACTGCTTACATTACTGCTAGATCAGAACAAGGGTTCATCTGGCCCAGCATTCTGTTCACACAGCAGCCAACCAGTCACCTGTGTGGGAAACCTACTAACAGGATGTTCCTGGTTGTATACACTGGTATAGTGTCTCTGATATTGGAGGTATTAAACATGGCTGAGCACAACCAGTTCCATAGTTTAACAATGCACAGCAAGAAGTACTTATTTTTATTTGTCCTGAATCCTCCATGATTCAGCTTAATGGGATGACTCCAGGTTCTTGTATTATGAGAGAGGGAGAAGAGAGAGGGAGGAAAAAAAACCTTAATTGAGTGCACCTCTTTTATGGCTTCCCTTACGCTCCATTTTTCAAGGTTAAACAATTATAGACACTGTAGCCTTTCCTCATAGGTGAGCCTTTCAATTTTCTATGAGGTGCCATCAAAAGCCCTTCTGCTTCTCACAGGACACCTGGACTGGTTCCATACCTATACCATTTCCACCCACCCCTAACTGATTTCAGTGGAAGGGGACAAAATTAAAAACTATCAGGAGCAAACTGATAAGTGGGCACTTGCTCCACAGCAGACCTCCCCTATGAGGCCAATCAGGATTACTCTGCCTGAGTGGATAACTCCATTTGCTCACCTCGGTCCTTCATTCTTCTACTCTCCCCTCCTCCTTTCCTTTTATTATTGTCTCTTCCTGTCAAGCTCCTTAAGGTGCAGATCTGACTCCTTCATTTAGAGCACTTCATACATCACCATTGCTATGGATGATGCTGAATGAATGAGCTAACTGACCAACCAACCATTCTGGTCTAAGGTCTCTTCACCTTATCTAAATGGCTGGAAGACAGACATACAGTATTTTTAAAAATTGTAATAATATTTCATTTGCTCAGCAGACCAACTTAATGACCATCTAATTAAGCCACCATAATTTATTTGGGGATTGCAGTATGCTTCCACTAACTCCAAAATATCTCTATGAATGTTTGTCTACTTATCTTTTAGAGCAAGGGTAAGTAGACTTCAATGTTCTTGGATCTACTTCATTTTTTAATGAGAACCCCAAGTGCAAGAGAAAACCAGGTGCAAGATAATGGTAGAGGGCTGTCTGGAACCAGATGTCTTCTGAACAGGATGTCTCTGATCACATGCTCAAACTAGGAAATTGTTCTTAGTATGAAAACTGAGCTCACAGTACTTTCATATGAAAATCCCACCCTTTCTCTCTGCTTTTTTTAGTTCCAGCACCTAATTTAGTAATGGTGCTAATATGCAGCTATCATAATTTGTAGGCATTGAAAATCTTATCCTCCATGAAGTTGCCTGATGTGCTTTTAAAGCCATACAATTTGGCAGCCATCACTACATTCTGTAGTAGCAAATTCCAAATTAAGTGGAAGTTGTTTAAAGTACTTCCTTTTATCATTTTTGACTCTCTTATCACTCAACTTCATTGGGAGACCTCAAGTACTCATACTATGAGAGAGAAAAACTTATCCTTGTCCACTTTTTTCTTACCATGCATAATTTTATACAGCTCTTGTATGTGCTTCTTTTTTCTTAAATTAGAAAGCTCCCCTTTTATTCATAGGAGAGTAGCTTCAACCATGTAATTATTTTGGTTGTCTTCTATACTTTTTCCAGCTCTAGACATGGTGACCAGAAATGTACACTGTATTCTAAGTGTGCTCACACCATAAATGTGTATGAAAACATTGCAATTTTTCTTTTAACCATCTTAAATAATTTCTTGCCATCAGAAATTCTGGCCACTTCACTGGTGACTCCTAATGTCTATTCATTTATTAGCATGTTGAAACACAATGCAGCTTCTTAGGGAATTCCACTGCTTAGCTTCCTCCATTGTGAGAACTGACCATTTATACCCGCTCCCTGTTCTGCTTTCTGTTCTTTAACCAGGAAGATTCCTAAGAGGACTTTAACCCATAGCTGCTATGTTTGCTCAGGAGTCACTGGAGATTTTGTTTAAAGCATTATGAAAACTATCAAGTAAACAGTGTTTATAAAATCTCAATGAACATTCATAATTAACTCTTAATGAAACAGTGAAACAGAACTATTTTGAAGAAGCCATGTTAATTCTTCATCAAGACTTGTGCTTCCATGTATTTGATTCACATTTCAATGTGCTTTAATTTTATGTTTACTAGCACTTTCTACCAATTTACCTGGGATGGATATTAAGGTAACCAGCTTGTAATTTGCAGGTTCCCTCCTGGATTTAATTTTTTAAAATTGCATTACATTGACCATTTCTCAGTTGTCTGATACAGAGGTTGATAATGATCTTACAGACATATTACATATTTTTGTTACAAAATGGACAGTTCCACATGTAAGAATGCTTGGATTAATACCATCTGAGCCTGATAGCTACATTGGCATTTCAATTATTAATTTTGGATGTACATGGAAATGTTCAGTTATGCAGTATTTAATTCCTACAAGTTCCAAGTTGCTGACATTTTGGAAATTCTGAACATTTAAATTTTGGCCATGTGATGTTGTGTGACAACAGAAATATATGTATTTAAAACAGCTTACATTTTAAGTACCAGATACTGAAAAGATCCAGAGTTCAGGTACACAGGACAACAAAACAAAACACAAATTTGCTAATTTTCATTTCCTTTAAAGTCTTTTTGTGTGTCTTTAAATGATCTTGTCTCCTAAAGGCACATGTATTTGTATAAAGGATTGTATGGGCCGGAGAGAGGAGGATATTTGATTTCCAGAGGAGAAAAAACCTCAGGCAGAAAGATTCAAGTGGGAGCAGCAAGAAGTGAAATACATGTGGGCAAAAGGCCAGCTAAGCCAGAAGAGTCAGGCTGTAAAACAGATCATCATGGGCCTTGTACTTCATTTCAGCAAGTGACTGTGGACAGCAGGATGGTGGGGCAGATGGCTTCCCAGAAGAGATTCAGGGCCCCAAATGAAACTTTCAGTGCCCACTGGGCCACTGCTGACACCATCCCTCATCTGGGCAATACATATTTTTTATTTTAATGTTTCAATACATTTTGCAGTTGGGATTGCTGGCAGAGACTAAGACGTTTCCCCTTCAAGCTGTTTATTGTACAGCAAACCCCTACTCCTTAAGCTGTTATTGCATAGCAGTTTATTATAGTTCTTTATATGGCACTATCAGTGCACATGGCACACAACTGGCCAAGGAAAACGAAAAAAGTCTCTGCCATAAGGGGCTTACAATCTGCAATCACATAATGCAGAAGTCAATGGGGAGAGCAGAGACAGGCAAGGAAAAAGGGACTGATTGGACATCATTGCAATAACACATGTGCCATTCCACTTTAGTCCTGGAAGTAAATTGCTGTGGAAAGGGTGAGGTACTTCATACATACTCAAGAGTGTTTTTTTGACTCTACATGTTCTGGAGCGGAGCATAAAAACAGCTGCATAACACAAATTCACCCCCTTTCCTTCCTTCCTTCTGTCAGATGCTGAGAGAGCACAAAGCAGGTACCCCGACTCCACCACGACCAGCACCCTCAAATTGTGTCATTGCGTTTGGATTCGGATGAGGGGAATATGTGTACTGTTCTTCGGAGGACAAATCCCACTGCGTGCCTAAGCGATGCCACGGTGCGGCCAGCCTTCCCTCCGTTGGCCCGTATGCATGCGTAGCTCGCCTTGGATGATTTGGCTGATGCGTTGCTGTCTCTGCTGGTGTCGCCCCAGTTTTGTTTTGTTGTGCATTTTTCCTGGGGAGAAAAGGATCAGAGAAGGATCTTTCTTGCCTTTCTATTGGTGCCGCCGCTCTGCCTGCCCGCCTGACAGCAGCCTCGCAATCCTCTTCTCCTGCCCGCCCGCTCGCCCGGCGCGCTCCGCCCCCCTCTCCCGGCTCGCTCCACCCCCACATCCACCCCAGCTCGTTGTCGTCGTCGTCGTCGTCGTCGTCTCCCCCTCTCCACCCCCCACCCCAAGCAGCTTCGGCAATAGCGGCAGCTGCTGTCTGCGCGGCGGGTCCGTCGTCCTCCCTCAGCCGCCCGCCATGGCTCGCGCGGGGGCCTCCTCCTCCTCCCCACCACCCCCACTGCCTCCCTTGCCTCTGACTAGGGAAGCGGCAGAAGGGGCCGAGGAGGGGGGAGAGGAGGAGGAGGAGGAAGAAGACGAAGAGGAGGAAGACCCCCCGCCCCGGGCTCTCGTGCCACGCTCCTCCCCGGTGCCGAGGCCCCAGCACCCCACCACCCGTGGAGGCAGCAGCTCTTCCTCAGACGACGACGACGCGGGGGAGGAAAAAGAGCGGCAGCACCAGCACCCTTGCTTGACAAGGCCACTCTCCCAGCATCCTCCAGGCCTGGCTGGGCCACTTTCCCAGCATGCACTGCAGGATAGTCAAGGGCTGCCCTCCCAGCATGTTCAAGGGCAGCCGGGGCTGTTCGCTCAGCATGCATCTGCTGTTGACACCACAGTGGAGGAACCCTCTCAGCATGCCGCAGGCCGGCATGTGCTGTTCGCCGATGCCTTGGGCCTGCCCTTGGCACGCTGGCGGCGCTACCAGCCTTGGCCACCACCTTCGCCTGAGTCTCCCCCTGAGGTGATGCCCCCTTTGGCCTCTCCCCCACCCTCCACAGCAGCCTGCTACCTTCTGCCATCCTTTGTGTTGCAGCCAATGGGTCAAGGTGAGGATGAGAAGCTTGAACGCCTGCGCCAGGCCAAGGTGGAACTGGAAGAGGTGCTGCCACCAGAGCCAGGAGAGCCACGAGTGTTGCGAGGCACTGTGCGCGTGCTTAACATTTCTTATCACAAGGCAGTACATGTGCGGGCCAGCCGAGACCGGTGGCAGAGTCACCGGGACTACCCTGCCCTCTACATTCCAGGGGGTTCACCAGATGGGGGTTTGACTGACCGCTTTGCCTTTCGACTGGACTTTGGTGATGAGGATGAGGAAGATGAGGAGGGAGGAGGAGCCCGACTTGATTTTGTGGTGAGGTATCAGACTGATGAAGGTGTCTATTGGGCCAACAACCAGGGCAGGAATTACAGCGTGGTACTAAAGGGGGCGGCACCTTCCCAGGGTCTGCCTAAGAAGTCTGGAAAAGAAGGTGAATCACGCCGGCTCAAGAGCTGCATGAGGCCAATCAAAATCAGGTAATGCTTCTCAGTACCCTACATGCCCTTGCTTGAATATGACTCATCTCTGGGAGTTATCTTGCCATGGTCCCTTGCTCTGGTCCAAGACCTGGGTGTTTCTGCTCCTCAGATCCCCAACAAATCCACTAGATTACACTCTTTTCCCAAAGGAAAGAGTTTATAGTCAAGATTTTTGCTTTCTAATCCTTGTACCATTATCAATTAAATATTTTGCTAGTTTGACTATGACTTATTTTCCAGTTAGCGCGCACCTTCTATGCAGGAACATCACATCATAAAAGAGTTTCTTTCAGGGGAAAAAACGGTTCCTTGTGAAATGAGAGAACAGCCAGAGTTTTCCCTTAAGAGGTGGCAGAAAAGGTATGATAGACCTTAATTTAAGCACCCAAGTGGGGTTGGTTCCAATTTCTTCTTCCTTCCCCAATTTGAATTGCTTTTGAGGGATGTTTTTCCTCTGTTTCTCAGTTACACAAATGATTTTCATAGTGTGATATTGGCATCCCTAAAGGTGATGCACACACACTTGCTAGAGAAGGTGTGAGCTTCTTCATGTCCCCTCCCAGTCAATGTCATAAAGCATTTTCTCATGTATCCCTGAAAGTACTATTAACAAAGTGGAAGAGTGCCATTTTAAGACAGATATGTTCTCTAGCTACTAGTGGTTTGTATCCAGATCACAGAAAAGCAAAATGCCTTCAGAACAGTTTCACCATTTATGAGGTGAACCCAGTTGATGTTTTCAGTAGTAAACATGTTATATATAGATCATATACAAGCTTCTTTAAATATCTGTACATGTGTATCTAGTTGATCCAGGTTTTTCAGGCTTGATTCTTATTTAGGTGGTGAACGTGTGTCTGGGCCATTTCAGTGGCTCATATGAACCACTACTGCAACTTTGCCAAGTGGTACCCTCCAGTTGTTTTGAACTTCACCTCCCATCAGCCCCAGCTACCATGGCAGTGGGTTAAGAATGTTCACAGTTACAGTTCAAATCATCTGGAGAACACCAGGTTGAGAAAGGCTGCACTCACACATCATGATCTCCTATTCACATTTCATTTGTCTGCTGATATTCTCAAATCTGCTGTCTGAGATACTCTGCTTCACTTCACCTAATGGTTGCTTGCCTTAGAAGCAGAGTTTGGGCTATCATAAAGGGGCTATAAATTGCAAGTTATTTGTTAGGTTAGCATATTTTTACCAACATCCAATCCTAATGTTTGGATTTTGCTGCAAGGAATAAGGGTTTGTACATGACAGGTGAATTGGTAAGGTGAACTGTAGCTTCCATTGTATTGTGTGAAAACAGATGTACCAGGGCCTGAATACAGACCTTCTGAACCACTGTGGTAAAGCAGACTGTGACAGGTATTGTGATGATCGCCAGTGCTGGGGATTAATTTAAAAACAGAATACTCAATGCTTTGCTCTCCATGGTTGATTCTACACTGGCCTTTTCCCCTGGAATTGCCATTCTTCCTTGACTCACTTTTTATGGATAATGCAAAAAAAAAAAAAAAAAAAAAACCACCATCATCAAATGATTGCACTCTAGTACGTTCTGTGTTGTTCTCTCTTGTTTTTTCAGACTTGTGGAGGCTCTGAGGTGTGGGTATGGGGGAGAGAACACGTTTGGGTATGGTAGCCTACTGAAGCTTTTCTGTCCTTCTGTGTTGTTAATTAAAGACTTCTGGTTTGCAGGTCCTGGCAATTTTATTGCTTCCTGTTGATTGTAGCTGGGGAATTAAACCTCCCTCATGGGAACAGAAATGAATGTTGGAGTAATCTAGAGAGACTATTGAAAGAAGAATTAAGGGGCTGTCCATCATTGATCTCCAGCTGGGATCAACAGGAAACCGTAAAATGGTCAGGACCTGCAAACAAGAAACTTAGGCAGGACAGAATGGGACTTACTTGTGAGTAAATACTATAGCAGGAAGTTGGTCATGGGAAAGGGCATGGCTAGTTACTATAACATTATACTAATGCTATGTGGAACCACTGTTTTAATTCTACTTGCAGCAAATTATGAAAAAACAATACCTTAGCAGCAATATAGGGCCCTAATCTGAAAGCAGCCTGTCAACAAGCTCTGATTCTCAGGTATCCCCTCTGACTATTATATAATTCATATTTGGTATGCAGGGGTTCTGAGGGCCCTCCAGCCTACCTTGCTAAGGCCCCCAGTTGTAGAAGCTGTGACCATACAGAGCAAGAGGAAGAATTTGGTGTAGGACCAAACAGAGTCATCAAAGGTTAGAGAACTAGCAAGCATAGAGTAAATGTGGAAGACAGTTCTCTCAGTGTTGAGCCCAGGAAGGAGCAAACCATTCCCTTAGCATGGCCAGGAAAAAGGTTTCCTTGTGAATAATTACCCGCTTATGACTAAACACCTACTTCCAAGCAAGTACATGGGAGCAGGGGAATTGACTTGACTGTAGTTGGACACAAATGAAACACAGAGGACTGACTGGGAAAGAAATGATAGGATTCCATGATCAGAGAAATTTAGAGAAGAAACTCAGTGGTAATAACACTTTTCCCTCTGTTTGAGGCCAAAGAGACTTCAGCCATATCCCAGCTCCCTATGCTATTGTATCACCATTACAGGTGCAATATAAACTTGTGGAGATTATTTCCAAAGGCAATCTTAAGGTATAAAGAATGGGCGTAGTCCAACAAATTTTGATCCGTTGCATTTGACCTGGATGTTGACAAGAGTGACTCACCTATTTTTTTTGCCTTAGTTACATCTGGGCAAGCTTAAACAGTTGTTTTCTTGCCTAGGGATATTGTGGCTGTTTGAGGTCCCTTGAGTTTTGTCCTCGGTAAAGTGATGATGGTGATGATATCCCATCTCATGGGAAATCTGGAAAGTAACAAGAAATAGGGGAAGACATTATCCATCATGAGCCTTAGGGTAGGCTATACTTTGCTAAGTTTTGTTCACTGCCTAAAGAGGGGGATGTGCCAGAGGAGGGTTGCTAGCACTTTGTTATGCTGAAATTAAATGCAGTATTTAATATTTGTTCCATTGGGCAATGGGACAGTTCTCTGATCTTTTTTCTCTGATCCAGAGATTCTTTATTCTGGACAGTTTCATATATCTTTCTTCTTTAATGTTTGTTTGTTTGTTTGTTTATTGAAAAGCAATTTTATTCTACTCTGTTGACCGCCTCCACCCCAGTTTTCCTGGAGCAGTTTACATTCAGTCAGTAAAAAACATGAAAAAACCCAATACAGAAGCTTCCAATTGAAAAAGATATGACACAAAAGGAACAAGGGAAGGTGAGAACCAAGGAAAAAAGCAAGCACTCTTTTAGCTGGGCTGATGGAATGACCCAGCTTTTCTCCTTATTTTCTTCTTCTATAGGCTGCTGAAATTTGTATTTGGGCTATTTCCCAGTTCTTTTGCTGGGCTGCTTGCAAGATTGGTCCATGAGAGGTCCATCTAGATTGCTAAGCATTCGCCCTGTTTGGAATTTCAAAGATGTCTTTCTTCAGGGACAACTCATAGAACAGGAAAAGGCAAAACATATATTTCCTTTAAGGAATGTTTTACCATCAGCTCCCCTTTCCTTGCCACTCCAAGCATTTTATCTATTCTTTCATATTTGCCCATTTTTGTGTCTTGCCCTCTCTCAGATTCTGCTTAAGATGGGAAAGTATGACTGCTTTGTTGGTGTCTCCTTCCTTCTCTCAGGCATAGAAATGTTATAATAATAATAATAATAATAATAATAATAATAATAATCTGTATTCTGTGATTTCTGTTGAGGAGTTGTACCACAACATAACCAGGGCTATGTGTACTCCTTGCTACAAAAATGTTATTCAACTTTTGCATCCAAGGAATCCTAATTCCGTGTGAAAAAACACAGACCTGAATTCAGCTCTGCAAGCTGAACAAATTTGCACCATTTTTCTTAATTGTATATTCTATTCTGTAGGGATTTTAAAAATACACAATGTTATTAAGGTTTTCAGTCATGGGAATTATGCAAGGGAGTGAGACTTCACCTATGCCTACAGAAATCTTTTCACAGAACAATCTTATGCATGTCTACTCAGAAACCAATCCCACTGGGTTCAAAGGGCCATGTTCCAAGGTAGCCAAGTATGGGATTGGAGACATACCTATATTTTTTGGCTTCTGAGAATTCGGTAAGCATTGCCAACACACTTTAAAGCCTATATTGCAGCCATAAGGTCTAGGCATTCCATTTTAAAATAATAAATGTTTATTTCTGTGCCCAGTTTTCTATGCCTTTTGTGTGTTCCTAAAGAAGTATGTTGTTACAACAGCCTTCTCTTTCAGTCATGATGTTTATGAAACAGATTTTGCTGCCACCAGTGAAATGGTTGGTATGATGCTTTTCCATGCCATTTCCTTTTATTAAAGTCTTGTTTCTTGCCTTGGCAGCCATGCTGTTAAAGGTCTGGTTACTACACTGCAATCACCCTCTTGGCCTGACTGAAGGATTGCATTTAGCAGAATTACCATTCTTACCCAGTGCAGTTTTCTTAGAACAAGCACCCCCTTTTATATTCCTACTATACAGGCCTGACCACACCCAAAGCCTAACCACAGGGTACTTCTGCAGATCAGTTGAGCATCTGGCATAGTCACATGGTGCTTCTGTAGGTCAGCTGATCCCATGGCTGCATCATAACTGATAGCATGAAGCAACTGTTTTTACTACAATGATACTGCTGCAACATACTGTGTGAAAGAGCAGAGTACCATGGAACAACTTCAGTTCCCTTAGGGACCAAGAGTTGGGGTCTGAGGGAAAGATTTAGGCAGGTGTATTCTGCAGTGTCCTCTGCTTTGGCTTAAGGGAAAAAGCGAGAGGAATTAAAGCATTGATGTGGCAGAGTTGCACAGCTTTCAGGCTTGTGGGATCTGCTGTTTTACTTGAAACTAGGGTCCCCTAATCGGATGCAGGTGCAAAATAATGGCTTGGGGGAGTAGATGTATGGTTAGGATTAAG